TAAATAAATAAAAAAGAATGACAGTTTTTAGCCTTGGGTCTTGCATTTTCTCTGTGAGCTTTAACACTTTAGCTCCATAACCGATAGGATTTTTTTCCCCATCACTCTTTTAGCTTTAATAAAGTTAAGGCTAACAAACAGCATTCGTTTGTTACAGTTCCTGTTAATAATCCCAGCAATATCCAAGGGTTTGTGCTTAGATTATAAATCTTATTTTTAAAAATGTCTGAAGCTCTTCTTTGATTATAGGAGCTGTTGGCCAGCATTCCTCTGCTGCTAAAGAATTATTTTTCATGAAGGCTGACATTTATAACTGAATGCACAATATGCCATTAAATTTGATGAATGAAATCTTCCTTTACTGATACGGTTTTCCATGCCTTGACATATAATCCCAGTTTTTTTTTAATGTTTCAATTGCCAGAAGTGTTCAACCATAACCATGATTTATTGGTACCATTACCTAGGATTTAATTAATATATATCTCTCTTTCTGCCAGTTCTTTTTTTCCCCCTACCCCTGCCTTCCAAAGAGTATTCTTACAAAGACTGGATGGGACTTGTCATTGTTTTAATAATATATCATATTTCTGTATGCCTGCATGTGCAGGCCAGTTAGCATACCTGGTTTTCGGACCTGGTGTGTCTTAATTTTACAGCACAGAGAATCGTGGTACAGGTAGTCCTTGACTTAACAACCACAATTGAACCCAAACTTTCTGTTGCTAAATGAGGCAGTTTTTAAGTGAGTTTTGCCCCATTTTATGGACTTTCTTGCCACAGTCGCTAAGTGAATCACTGTACAGTTGTTAAGTTAGTAAAATGGTTGTAAAATGAATCTGGCTTCCCCATTGACTTTGCTTGTCAGCAGGTCACAAAAGGGAATCACATTTTTCTGGGACACTGCAACCGTCATAAGTATGAACCACCTGTCAAGCATCCAAATTTTGATTATATGACCATGGGGATGCTGCAATGGTCATAGGTGTGAAAAACGGTCAGTGCCATTGTAACTTCAAAAGATCATTAAATGAATCGTCGTAAGTCAAGGACTTCCTCTAAAGAGAAAACAAGAAATATTTTAAAATAGAATTTATTATCATGCAATGTTTATTTAAAGTATTAATCACATTTTAAGCAGTCCATCTCCCTCACAGAGGGACTGTAACAATTTTCCACTTTTCTATTATAGCAAAAATAATACTGTAACCTCTTTCTTATATAAATTGCCTTCACTAATCAGAACCAAGCATCCATTTTTCATGAGAACCAGAGTTCATTTTAATTTCTTATTCAATACTGCCCAAAGGTGTCGTAACACATTACCTTGTTAGCAAACGGAATAATACATAATGATATATCATTTCTACATATTTAAGTAAAAGATCTTTCATTAAGATCTTTAAAAGGCTATGATATAATCAGTATAAATTATCTCCAAATAATAGTAATTATTATTATAGGAGGTATATGACGATGCTTCCAGTATTTCAAAAGTTTGCCAATAGTTTGCCTACTGGTATTTCTTATTCCCAATATCATCTGTATTTAACAGCAACTTTTATTCAGTTTCTACTCCCCACCTGCCTTGTGTATCATCCAATTGTCTTATTAAACATACCAAATTAAATATTAGAGAAGAGAGGGACATCCTTGATATGTCCCATATCTTGAGGGCTGAGGAGATAATCCCATTAGACATTACCTGAGGAGACAGGATAGAATAATAATTTTATCTGAGAAATTCTACTACAAAATCATTTGTCTTCATAGTTTGAGGGGTTCTTGGCAGTGGTGAAATTCAATTTTTTTTACTACCAGTTCTGTGGGCATGGCTTGGTGGGTGTGGCTTAGTGGGTGTGGCAGGGGAAGGATACTGCAAAATCCCCATTCCCTCCCTACTCCTCGGGGAACGATATTGCAAAATCTCCATTCCCACCCCACTGGGGCCAGCCAGAGGTGGTATTTGCCAGTTCTCCGAACTGCTCAAAATTTCCGCTACCAGTTCTCCAGAACCTGCTGGATTTCAGCCATGGTCCTTGGTGCTCTCTGAGCTTGCTTGTTTTCTTGCAGATGTTTCATTACCCAAACTAAGTAACATCATCAGTGCTACAGTAATAACTAATGATGTTACTTAGTTCAGGTAATAAAACGTCTGCAAGAAAACAAGCAAGCTCAGAGAGCACCAAGGACTCCACATTTCAACCCTGAGGTACAAAAATCTTGGTCTTCATAGTTTGCTCCATATTAAATTCCTTGAATTTAATCTATCACTTCTAGAAGGTTGGTTGGTTGATCAATTTCCTGATTATTTATTCCTTATTATTTTTACAAATAAGGTGGCAAATATAAACACTCGCTCCTCCTATTTTCTGTACAACAGCAACCCTGTGAGGTGAGTTGGGCTGAGAGAGAATGACTGGTCCATAGCTGGCTTTGATGGCTTGAACTCACAGTCCCTTTCTTTCTAGCTTGATGCCTTAGCCCCTAGATCAGGGGTGTCAAACTCAATTTCATTGAGGGCCGCATCAGGGTTGTGTTTGACCTTGGAAGGGGCGGGGGGGCCACCTTGACATTACTTGTGTTGGGGGTTCCTCTGGTGGCCCTAGCGCTCTTCCAGTGAAAATGGGCTCCCGAGCTCCATTTTCAGCTGCGACGGCCTCCTGCAACCCCCTGCCAGCGAAAACGGAGCTTGGGAGGACCCACGTGCGGCCCTCCCGAGCTCCATTTTCGCTGGCAGAGGCACCCCGGGCCAGTCCTTCACTGTTTCCAGAGCGGCCCCGTGGGCCGGATCTAAGCATCCCACGGGCCAGATCCGGGCCCCGGGACTTGAGTTTGATACCCCTGCCCAGTGAAATCTACTTACCTTCCTTACCAGTTCGCTCCACCATCGCTACCGGATCACGGAAACACCGGCCAAGATCGCTACCGGACCGGGCGATCCGGTCCGATCCGGGAGCATTTCACTCCTGCTCCTGCCCCTAGATAAACATTTTTTTAAAAATTCCATTTGTTCAAAAAGTATACAAAGACAGCAAGACAATGTAATCTAGTGAATTGTAATTAACTTATCCAGCCCGTTGCCTCCGCATCATATTCTATTAGCAAAACAAAACCTTTTCTTTTATGTACACTGAGAGCATATGCACTAAGACAAATTCCTTGTGTGTCCAATCACACTTGGCCAATAAAAAATTCTATTCTATTCTAAAAAAGTGATCATTATTATTATTATTAACCAGAAACGGGGATAATTACTGTTGATGTGCTCTGATATATTTTTAAACCAATTTTAAAGCAAACTGTCAGGTCAGTGATTCTTTTTTATTTATTTTTTTTAAAGATCAATATATTTTTTTAGAGAAAATCAATGCTGGGCCAGGAATGATAACAATTTTGTTTGCCAACATTATTGATAAGGCAAGGACATAGTTTTATTTACATTTCAGAACAATTGTACTTCGACTGATAGTCATTTATGGTGAACTGATAGGAAATCCTTCGTCTCTGACTTACGCCTGGCCTTCCTAGCAACAACTTTTCTTTTTAAAAAAATCATCAATAGTTTATAAATAATTTCCTTTCTTCTCTTCTGGCAAGTACTAATAACCACTGAAGCATGACTTTTGAACACTGTTGTTTCCACATGAAAAGCTAGGGCAAAGAAATGCTGCGGCTACTAATGATTAAAAATACTGGCCTGATATTTATGTAAAATCCCAGGAAGGGAGGAAAAAAACCCTGAAGAGTTTTCCTAAAGAGTTGAAGGCCGCTTAGAAACGGAAACGGAATAATAAGTTTTGTTCTTAACAGACTGTTCTCAATCGGTGGTTTTCATGCTGTGTGTCCTATTATGCTATTTTAAAAGAGAAACGTGGGAAAATTCATCAAAAGATGACTCAGTGTTTTTTTTTAATAAGGTACGCTCTTGAGTATGTTGAATTCACTGTCTGTTCCCAAGAGGAGAACTCTGTGATCAGTCTGCTCCCAAAAATATGTACCACAATACTGTACTTTGCAAGGCCCAGGGTTGCTACCTCTGATGTTTAGAGTTTGGTGCAGGGGTCTTCATAGGCTGTGGTCCAAAAAAAGTCCATCTGGTGGCCATAACGGTGTGAGAACTTTTTCTGAAAGGCCAGAGTTCTAGATTACTTGTGGGAAAATGACCATACAGGTAGTCCTCGACTTACAACCAAAACTGAACCCCAAATTTCCTTCGCTAAGCAAGACAATTTGCTAAGTGACTTTGGTCCCGTTTTACGACGGTTCCTGCCAGAGTTGCTAAGTGAATCACTGCAGTTGTTAAGTTAGTAACAAGGTTGTTAAGTGAATCTGGCTTCCCCGTTAACTTTGCTTGTCAGAAGGTCGCCGAAAGGTAATCATGTGACACTCCAGCCACCATACAGGCCAGTTGCCAAGCGTTTCAGTTTTGATCACGTGATCCCAAGGATGCCGCATCGGTCATCAAGTGTGAAAAATGGTCATGAGTCAGCTTTTTTCAGTGCCGTTGTAGCTTCGAACGGTCCCTAAACGAGAGGCTGTAAGTCGAAGACTACCTGTATGGGAATGCGCTTAGATCAGGGGTGTCAAATTCGATTTCATTGGCCACTTCAGGGTTGTGTTTGACCTCGGGGGGGGCATGGCCAGGGTGGGTGTGGCCATCTCAACATCACTCGGGTCAGGGCACCTGTGGTGGCCCGAGCACTCTGCCAGCGAAAACAAGGCTCCCGGCCTCCTGCAACCCTTTGCCAGTGAAAATGGAGCTCGGGAAGGCCACATGTGCCCCCCTCCCCAAGCTCCATTTTTGCTGGCAGAGGCACCGCGGGCTGCTCCGCTGTTTCCAGGGCAGCCCCGCGGGCCAGATCTAAGCACCCCCCCCCGGGCCGGATCCAGCTGGCAGACCTTGAGTTTGACACCCCTAGCTTAGATTGATGGTTTGCAGTTCTTGGAGGCCATGAACTAATACAATTCGCTCTTCGTGCTGTTGTGCATTTTTGCAGAAGGCGTCTTATCTCCCAGCGCTGCTCTCTAGAGTTTTTAGAAGACATAGTGGGATATGCCAGTGCGCGCAGGTACTTGTCAAAAGCAGCATTAACCTTCCATTGCATGCTTTGCAAGTCCTTCTTTTCCCCTGCCACCCTCATTCAAGCCAAAAAATAAATAAAAATTAAAAAATTAAAACCCAAACCTAAGCATGCATGCTCGATCCAACTACGACATCTGCAGCCCTTTCGTTATCCTTGAAGTGTTTTTTTTTAATCGCAGCTATTTGCGTATTTCTTTTTTTTTTTTTTCCCCTTTCTTTTCTTGAAATGTAGAACGAAGCATGTATCTGGATCTCCGCGACACAAAGGCTTGAAGAAAGTACATTTCATCAAGAATATGAGGCAATACGACACGCGGAACAGCAGGTGACCTTTGCTTTAACTGAAGTAAATCTCTGGGCAAATAGATGCAGGTTTTGGTTACACATCATTGGGGGAACAAAATGGCTGAAAGAGTGGGATGGCGGTTCGGCTGGGTCCCTTAGGTGCACCCTACTGGCTTTCTCTGACCAATGGCAGAGATTTTATTTTTATTTTATTTTAATATTATTTTATTTTGTTTTAGGTTTATTTTATTTTATTTTATTTTAAGTTTATTTTATTTATTTTAAGATTATTTTATTTTAGGTTTATTTTATTTTAATTTAATTTAATTTTTATTTTATTTTAAGTTTATTTTATTTTAGGTTTATTTTATTTTAAGTTTATTTTAAGTTTATTTTATTTTAAGTTTATTTTATTTTAAGTTTATTTTATTTTAAGTTTATTTTATTATGGTACGGTACAGTACAATATTGTTAGGTTAGTTTATTTATTTCCCGCCTTTATTATTTACACAAATAACTCAAGATGGTGAATATATATTCACCTTCTTCCTCCTGTTTTCTCAACAACAACAATCCTGTGAGGTGGGTTGTGCTGAGAGAGTGTGAATGGACCAAAGGCACCCAGCCATCTTTCGTGCCTTAGGCAGGACTAGAACTCTCAGTCTCCTGGTGATTGGCTCAAAATCACCTACCCAGCTTTCATGCCTAAGGCGGGACTAGAATTCACAGTCTCCTGGTGATTGGCTCAAAATCACCTACCCAGCTTTCATGCCTAAGGCGGGACTAGAATTCACAGTCTCTCTGGTGATTGGCTCAAAATCAAAATCACCTACCCAGCTTTCATGCCTAAGGCGGGACTAGAATTCACAGTCTCCTGGTGATTGGCTCAAAATCACCTACCCAGCTTTCATGCCTAAGGCAGGACTAGAATTCACAGTCTCCTGGTGATTGGCTCAAAATCACCTACCCAGCTTTCATGTCTAAAGCGGGACTAGAATTCACAGTCTCCTGGTGATTGGCTCAAAATCACCTACCCAGCTTTCATGTCTAAAGGGGGACTAGAATTCACAGTCTCCTGGTGATTGGCTCAAAATCACCTATCCAGCTTTCATGCCTAAAGGGGGACTAGAATTCACAGTCTCCTGGTGATTGGCTCAAAATCACCTACCCAGCTTTCATGCCTAAGACAGGACTAGAATTCACAGTCTCCTGGTGATTGGCTCAAAATCACCTATCCAGCTTTCATGCCTAAAGTGGGACTAGAACTCATGGTCTCCTGCTTTCTAGCCTGTGCCTTAACCATTAGACCAACTTGGCTCTCAGTTGGACCCAATTGTCTTACCAGAAGCCTCATCATTTCCTTTCAGAAAACATTTGAAATTAAGTTGAAGGTCACAGATTGTATAGTCTTTTTGGAACAACAATGTCTTAACCAAAGACTAAGCTCTCTCCCTAACCCCAAGAATTTCCGGATTAAACTAAAGTTGAAAAGATGGAGAAACAGTGGCTATTTCCCCATGTTTTTTTTTTTTCCTTCCTTGATAACTTTTTCTGGGAGGGGCAAATTGTCTCACTTTCCCGATTTTCTTCCGGTGGAGTGAATGAGGTATCTACACTCCAGTCTCCTAGTAACTTCTGTAATTATGAGGAAAGTGATGAGGATGGCAGAAAAGATTATTGGCAGATCACTCCCTTCTATCCAAGACTTAACATACTGTATAAGTCATGCTTGTCGAGAGTCCGCAGGATTGTCTGGGACACTACACATCCTCTTCACAACCTGTTTTCTTTGTTACCTTCTGGGAGGGGGCTTCGTGGTATCCAAAGCAGAACACCCAGATTCAGCCACAGTTTTGTTCCATACAGTATCAACCTTGGGAACTCTGGCAATTCCTCTTTCCAGTATGTATTCAAGATGGACAGGGATTAATATTTATATGTTAGGGCAGTGATGGCTTACCTTTTTCTCTTTGGGTGCCAAAAGTGCATGCACGACAGTGTGCATGCATGCCAGTACCCATAATGTACTGTGCCCCCAGCACCCCCCCGTGCACACGCACACGGCCCCCCATGCATGCGCACAAGGGGTAGGATTCAAAAATTTTAGCAACCTGCACCACAGCGGAAGGGGGGCGTTTTCACCCTCCCCAGGGTCCGGAGGCTTTGCCCGAGCCTCCAGGATGGCAAAAACAGCTTCCCCTGGGCTCCGGAGGCCCTCCAGAGGCTGGAAATGGGTCAATTTCCAAACTTTGGAACGCACGCACCACACCCTCCCACAGTCCCCCCGACCCCACGCACGTGTGTGCGACCCCCTGCACATGCATGCGTGTCTCCTGCATGCGCCCCGCCCCCTGAGCATCCCGAAAATCAGCTGGCCTGTGGGAGGCGAGCGTGCATGCGCAGTGGACGTGAGCTGGATGATGGCTCGCGTGCCCGCAGAGCGGGCTCTGCGTGCCAGCTGTGGCACGCGTGGCATAGGTTCGCCATCACAGTGTTAGGGTGTAGGCATATACATATGTATATATATACATATCTATATGTGTGTTATGTATGTGTACACTTTTGAGAGCAGGCAACAGAATTCCATTTCTAATGTGTCCCAGTGTGCCCACAGTAAAAAATGACAATAAAGGTTATCTTATAATTGGAGAATGCAATTTAGAGACTCCAGCGTGCCACATAATGTTTCACCAATATTGTATAAGTCTTCCTCGCTGAAGGATATTCAGCAGAGATGGTTACAGATGACTTCTGTTGGAAACTCGAGAAGTTATTTTTTTAAATCTTGCATTAGGGAAAGCATGAAATAGCTGCATTTTTTAAAAAATAAAAACCTGGGCTTCTAATTGCTCACAGAAAGCTATTTAATAAAAATCCGAGTTAAAAGGGCTATTGATCCAGCTCATTAGGAATGAAAGTACTACTATAATTCACAATATTCTTTCCCTTTCTTTTCAGGATAGTGTTAATTTGCGCAAAACGAACTCTTTGTGTGGCTTTTTCTATCCTGCCTTATGGAGAGAGCTTAAGGATCAGGTGAGAAATTCCAATTTTTCTGACAAGTATCTTTAACTCTGATGGGCTATGAAGTTGTTGTCTTTCTAAGCTTATCCCAAACATGATTTTTCAAAAGGCAAACTGGATTTTGTTTTTCCTTGAAGACATTTTGCTTCTCATCCAAGAAGCATCTTCAGTTCTGTTCTTCTTCAGTCCAGTTGCCTTTTGAAAAAATACCTTTGGAATAACATGACCTGGATTACTGAGAATCTTGTAGACATTTTTCTCAGTTTATCTGAAGTCATTCCCCTGCCCCCCCCCTTTTTTTTTAGTCTGTTGGATAAAATCATACTGTTCATCCTTGTAATAATATGGTTTTGCTTCAGATCGTATAATATTGACGATTGCTTTAGAACAGAAGTCTCCAAACTTAGCAACTTTAAGGCTTGTGGACTTCACCTCCCAGAATTCCTTAGCCAGCCATGCTGGCTGGAGAATTCTGGGAGCCGAAGTCCACAATTTCTTAAAGTTGCCAAGTTTGGAGACCTCTGCTTTAGAATGAGGCTGGTTCTCTTTAGTTTATTTTCAGATTGATACTTTCCTAGCAGAGTTTATAGCATTTAAGTGAGAATTTTGACTTGAATTTTTTTAAAAAGTTAGTCAAATATTGTTAACAGTTAACATACTAAAGTGGAAGGGATGGATTTTCCATACAGAAAAATATGTATTTTAGCAAGCACAGGAGATATAGTAGGGGCAATTTGGAAGTATAGTCCTTGACTTGGGGACATTCATTTAACAACTGTTCAGATTACAACAGTTGTGAAAAAGGTTATTTATGACTGGTCCTTGCACTTACAACTGTCACAGCAACCCTCAGCTAAGAGATTGCGATTTGTGATAGTCCCATCCGCCTTCTGAAAAACAACGTTTACAGGGAACCCACAGGGAAGGTCACAAGCCACAAACATGTAATGTCTTGCTTAACGAGGCAAAAATGGTTGTAAAAAATTGGGTGTGATCCTATGATGCCCCACTTAACTGCACTGCTTGACAACGAATTATTTATTTATTATTGTATTTATTGGTTCGATTTATATGCCGCCCTTCTCCGGAGACTCAGGACGGCTTACAATGCGTTAAGCAATAGCCTTCATACTTTTTGTATATACCTGCTTAGTAGGGCTTTCGGCCCCCCCAAGCAGTGTTCCTTTTTATACAAAGTCATCTTATTGCCCCCACAATCCAGGTCCTCATTTTACCTACCTCGAAAAGGATGGAAGGCTGAGTCAACCTTGAGCCTGGTGAGATTTGAACTTGCAGTAATTGCAGGCAGCTGGTGTTACTTAACAGCACTTTAGTCTGCTGTGCCACCAAGGCTCTTCTTTTTATCCAGTCCCAGTTATCATCGTAAGTTAAGGACTTTTAACTGTGTAGTTAAAAGCTCCAAATATATACGTGGCAAATCTGTTCTTGAGGATAATGAAATTACATTAGTAAGTTGGACCAGTATGTTCCTGTGGTCAGCTTTTTTTGCATTTTAGTGTACATAAAGCTGTACAGAAGCTTAGTTTTGAGACATTTGTTCCAGTCTAACAGGGCAGGTCGATATTCAGATGCTCTTTTCATCATGGACAAGATGATGGCCATTTGGAGAATTCTGCATCCAGCATGAATGCACATTAGTTCATCCAAGGGCTGATGATGATGTATGTAACAGCATTGCACTCCATAAGTTATATCCATGAGCCGCGGTGGCGCAGTGATTAGAGTGCGGTACTGCAGGCTACTTCTGCTGATCGCCAGCTGCCAGCAATTTGGCAGTTCAAATCTCACCAGGCTCGAGGCTGACTCAGCCTTCCATCCTTCTGAGGTGGGTAAAATGAGGACCCAGATTGTTGGGGGCCATAGGCTGACTCTGTAAACTGCTTAGAGAGGGCTGTAAAGCACTGTGAAGCGGTATATAAGTCTTATTGCTATTGCTATCCCTGGCCCACGCACTTCGGAATTTGAGAAGAAATGAATCACTCATTAAAGCTTAATTAAAGGAGAGCTGATAAGCAGACTGTTCATTTAATAACCTTTCCTTCAGAAATCCCACGACATGCTTCGGGTTCTTGCTGGATGTATATCACATTTAATTAGCCTCGCCATAAAAATAAAACAACATATGTCATCACTCTTGAGTTCCTGTGATTAGTGCAGTGAAGAAGGAAATGGATATTTTCCTGACAGACGTCCCCCATACAGATGCCGCTGCTATAAATAACGTATGGGAAACTTCTTTCTAGCTTAATGGGAAATAGGGAAGACATTCAGAAGTGCTTCATTTTAAATGAAAGACGAATGAATTATTTGGGGATGGGAAACATAGATTGAATACCCCAAATAGTTTAGCTACTGATTAACAGTCTTGGGGAAAGGCAGTAGAATAATATAATTGCAAGCTTGTCTAATACATCATGGGCTTGTGTGCAGCTGAATAGAGATGACCGACTTATGATCATTTGTTTAACAGTGGTTCAAAGTTATGGTGGCCCTGAAAACTGACTTATAACTGTTCCTCGCACCTATGACCATCACAGCATCCCAGCAGCCACCAGGTCAAAATTTGGAGGCTTGGCAACTAGCATGTGCGATGGTCACAGTGTCCCCAGGTGTTGTGATTGTGATTTGCAATCTTCCCAGCTGGCTTTTGACAAGTGAAGCCTTTGAGGAAAGCCAGATTCAGTTAACAGCCATGTGATTCCCTTAACAATTATGTGATTCGCTTAACAGCCACGGTTTTTTTTAAAAATGGTCATAAAATAAGGTCAGGTCATGTAATGGTTTTCTTAATGACTGCACTGCTTAGCAACTGAAAATTCCAGTCTCAATTATGGTCGTAAAATAAGGACTACCCATACACATGCTTTAAGATATAAGAAAGTCGTTTTCATATTTGGTCAGTTCTGGCTTCCCAGTTTCGGATTAATTTTTCAAGCTCGAAATCCTGATGTATTATGGCCTTCCAACATTTCTCATGTTTTGCAATACTGAGAGTTACAATCTCATCGCATCCGAAGGACAGCCGGCTAGGGAAAGCTTGGCAGAATATTTTCTTTCTAAGCGCTGTGTGACTATAATATCCCACTGGGCATAAATTTAAATGAGTTAACAATTGCCAGGAAACTTCCTACTTTTATGTAGTTTTGAAGGGGGGATGAGTGCGAAGTAAAGTTCACAGATGTTATTTCTAGCAAAAGAGGTTCCCATGGCTGGATCAGTTCTTTGTGTATTTTATAGCTTTTTGAGCTTACGTCTTTTCCTATATTATATCCTCAGTCTTAGGATGCAGTTCAAGGCTGTGTTCCGTTTTCAGTCCTCTCGAATCGTGGGAATAACTTTTAACAGTTGAGCCTCATCTGCGGATACAACTGCCTGAAACTCTTTTTAAAAATAGGATGAACTCCAACTAAGTCTTCTTGACTATTTACTGAACTTTTTTCTTTCTTTCTTTCTTTCTCTAATCTTTTAAAAACTAACGCTTTCAAACAAGGGAATTGCCCTTTTAAATTTTTTTAACGTGTGCGGGTGCTTTATTTATTTATTTATTTTAACTGCTGACCGAGCTGGTTTGGGGCTGAGGATGAGAAGAAAGCAACTTTGAATTTTATGGTTTGTTTTCATTCTGCCTTCTGGACAGCGAGCTGAGAATAGAGGGCCAGAAACAGAGGCATCCATCGGGCGGAATTTCAGCCACTTCCGAGATGGTGTTAGGAATGGAAGGCGTGGAATTAGGGGCTGATGGCAAGGTAAGACCCCACAATGTGGAACAAGCCTTTTGTGTTGTGATGTGGAGGTTTCCAGATGTGTGGGGGGGGGGGGCTTCCATATCCCAATTTTTTAACGTTTTATTGATTTTCTGTTGTTTACATTTTGTTAGTGCTTAATAAACATCGTAGGGACGCAGTGGCTAAGACGCTGAGCTTGTCGATCGAAAGGTCGGCAGTTCGGCAGTTCAAATCTCTAGTGCCTTGTAACTGAGTGAGCTCCCGTTACTTGTCCCAGCTTCTGCCAACCTAGCAGTTCAAAAGCACGTAAAAAAAAAATGCAAGTAGAAAAATAGGGACCACCTTTGGTGGGAAGGTAACAGTGTTCCGTGTGCCTTTGGCATTTAGTCATTCCGGCCACATGACCACGGAGACATCTTCGGACAGTGTTGGCTCTTCGGCTTTGAAATGGAGATGAGCACCGCCCCTTAGAGTTGGGAGCGACTAGCACATATGTATGAGGGGAACCTTTATCTTTTTAATAAACATTGTGTTGTCTGGGTTACTTAATTCACTTAAAAATACAGATTACATTCTTAATCTCCACCTCTTTTTTCCAACCACTGGTAAAATAAAGTCCACGTTTGATGATATTCTGTGTCTTCTTTCCGTTTAATCTTCAGCGTAAGTTTGTCCATTTCTGCATAATCTAGTATCTTCCTAATTATCTCTTCATCTCATGGTGTTTCTTCATTTTTCCATTTTTGTGCAAATATAATCCTCGCTGCTGTTAAGGCATGCAGTATTAAAAATATACTTTGCTTATCAAGTTTTTCTGATGTTGTACCAATAAAAACAGTTCAGGTTTAAAATCTAGATGTTTTTCTATCATCAGTTCTAACCACTTACATATTTTTGCCCTTTTTTTTTTTTTTGGTTTAGCACAAGTCCAGCACATATGATAATATGTGCCTGTTTTTTCGTTACATTTCCATAAGGCAACTGAACTTTCTTGGTTTTTTTTCCTTGAAGTTCTTTAGTCAGAACTGAAGAAGCTTCTTGGATGAGAAGCAAAACATTTCAAGGAAAAAAATCAGGAAAGTCCAGTTGCCTTTTGGAAAAGCATCCTTGGAACAACCATGACCTGGATGGTTGAGAATCTCCATAAACATCAGTTGGGAAGAAATATTTTTAGAGGTACTGAAACTATTCGTAATTGATTTGCTCTCAATTCCTTTCCTTTGAAACTTCTCCTTATGCACTTTGCATGTCATGCTTGCCTCTAAATGTTGAAGGCACTTACTCGCTCCATGCACAAAGCCATATGGCTAGTAAACCCCTTGTGGATGGCTCACTTGAACTTAAAACTGGTTAGTTCTGGGTTCCCAGATTTGATTAATTTTTCAAGCCCGAAATTCTGATGTATTTTGGCCTTCCAACAATTGAACTTGTGTCTTCCAAATGGGGAGTTAAAGTTGAATAACAGAATAGCTAAAATGGAAGGCACCTTGGAGGTCTTCTAGTCCAACCCCCTGCTCAAGCAGGAAATTCAATACCATTTCAGACAAGTGGTTGTCCAATCTCTTCTTAAAAACTTCCAGTGTTGGAGCATTCACAACTTCTGGAGAAAAGCCATTCCACTGATTAAATGTTCTGACTGTCAAGAAATTTCTCCTTAGTTCTAGATTACGTCTCTCTTTCATTAGTTTCCATCCACTGCTTTTTTCTTTTTTTTTTTTGGCTTTAATTTATATGCCGCCCTTCTCTGGAGACTCAGGGCGGCTTACAATGTGTTAAGCAATAGCCTTCATACTTCAGTTTATTGCCCCCACAATCTGGGCCCTCATTTCACCTACCTTTGAAAGGATGGAAGGCTGAGTCAACCTTGAGCCTGGTGAGATTTGAACTTGCAGTAATTGCAAGCAGCAGATGTTAATAACAGTGCTTTAGTCCACTGTACTACAGGCTTCTTGTCCTGACTTCAAGTGCTTTGGAGAATCTGTTGGCCCCTTCTTCTTTGTAACAGCCCCTTTAATATTGGCACATTGCTATCATGTCACCCCTAGACCACCTTTTCACATACCTACTTCCTGCAACTGTTCTTCATATCTTTTAGCCTCCAATCCCCAATCATCTTAGTTGCTCTTCTCTGCGCTATTTCTATAGTCTCAGCCAGGGGTGCTATTCAGCAGATTCTGGAGAACCGGTAGCAGAAATTTTGAGTAGTTTGGAGAACCAGCAAATACCATCTCTGGCTGGCCCCAGAGTGGGGTGGGAATGGAGATTTTGCAGTATCCTTACCCTGCCACGCTCATCAAGCCACGTCCACAGAACCGGTAGTAAAAAAATTTGAATTCCACCACTGGTTTCAGCATCTTTTTTATATCGTGGTGACCAAAGTTGAGAAATGAAATTCCTACTGGCAGAATTGTTCGCAGGGAATTCCTGTTCCAAGAAAATACACTACTTGGGAACCAAAGATTGTTGCATCAGTTGCTGACCATTGTGGAACTGTCTTTCAGGTGGTATCCTATGCAAAATTCTTGTATCCAACCAACGCTCTCGTGGGCCACAAAAGTGACGGCATCAGTGCCGTTTCCGTATGTCGAGCAACTGCATCCCGAACGGCTGGAGGCTCGAGGTATAAAACTTCAGCATCCAAAACCATCCCTTCGACAGCAGATCTGGGTAAGTCCCTGAACAAATACCGTATATTCCACCTTTCTGCATTTTTAAAAAACTTTTAAATAAGAAAAAAAAAGCCGACAGTGGTTGCATTGCAATTAAGAGGATAGATGGAATATTGCCAGCAGTAGATTTAATGGAATAACTGGGTGAAAATATAGCATTTCATTTTCTAAAACAGCAATTTGGGATCCTACGTTTTTCACAAATTTGATGCCTTCCTTTGTCCTTGTTAGTACTCTGAGAGTTAATTATAAAAATTGCATTAGTAGAACATTTTTGTACATAATACTTGGCATTGTAGCAAAGGATAGATGTTGTCCTATATATTCAGCATAATCTTGGGATGAATTTTTTTAACCAGCAGCTGCTCTGAATAGAGTGCAAGAGGAGATACTACAAAACATGAGTAGAGTGAGGTCAAGTGTAAAGGAGAAGCAGTTTGGCCTAGTGGTTAAGGTGCTGGCCTAGAAACCAGGAAACTGTGAGTTCTAGTCTCACTTTAAAACTGAAAGCCAGCTGGGTGACTTTGGGTCAATCATCAGGTGACTGTGAGTTCTAGTCCCTCCTTGGGTATGAAAGCCGGCTGGGTGACTTTGGGCCAGTCACTCTCACTGAGCCCAACCCACCTCACCAGGTTGTTGTTGTTGTGGCAGCAAAAATAGGGGGAAGGAGTATTAGATATATTCTCCACCATGAGTTACTTATAAGTTACTCCAAGATCGAGTGGCTGTGGCTTCCAGCGTCCCGATATAGCCAGCTGACGCCATCGCTGGCTATTGGGGGCGAATCACTTGCCCCCACGGAGAGGGCTCGTAACTTGGGCGTCCTCCTGGATGCAAGGCTGTCTTTAGAAGATCATTTGACGGCCGTGGCCAGGGGGGCTTTTTATCAGGTTCACCTGATACGCCAGTTGCGTCCCTTTCTAGATTGGGACTCTCTACGCACAGTCACTCAGGCACTAGTCACTTCCCGCCTGGACTACTGCAACGCTCTCTACATGGGGCTCCCCCTGGGGTGCACCCGGAGGCTCCAGCTGGTCCAGAACGCGGCCGCGCAGGGGATTATGGGGGCGACAAGGCGCTCCCATGTAACACCTCTCCTGCACGAGCTGCACTGGCTTCCGGTGGTCTTCCAGGTGCGCTTCAAGGTGTTGGTGACCACCTTTAAAGCGCTCCATGGCTTAGGGCCGGGATATTTATGAGACCGCCTTCTGCCACCAATAGCCTCCCACCGGCCAGTACGCTCGCACAGAGTGGGCCTCCTCAGGGTGCCGTCCGCCAGACAATGTCGGCTGGCGATCCCCAGGGGGAGAGCCTTCTCTGTGACGGCACCCACCCTCTGAAACAACCTTCCCCCAGAGTTACGTACAATAACAGACCTCCGGATTTTTCGTCGGGCCCTGAAAACCTATTTATTTCAACTAGCTGGGCTGGCTTGAGTTAAATTTTAAATTGATTTTAAATTGGGTTGTTTTAATTTACGGCCAAAATATTTAATTATTTTAATACTGTTTTTAAATTTTGTATGCTCTGTTTTTACCTTGGCTGTGCACCGCCCTGAGTCCTATTTGGAGAAGGGCGATATAGAAATTTAATAAATAAATAAATAAATAAAGTAATAAAGTAATAAAGTAATAAAGTAATAAAGTAATAAAGGAAGGGTTAAAAAAAATCTAAGAAATAAATAAATGCTCATGTTTATTTCATGCATTTTAAATATCAGCTTCATCTTTTGTTTTTTCAAAGAAAATACGACTATTCCCAGGTCATTTAGCCTCAGTAGAGGGGACGCCCCTAATTGTCTTTTCTGGGCTTAGAAATTGAGCAAAGTTGAGTTTAACTAATACAGGCGTGAGACCAGTAGGACATTTGTAAACCGGCCCATTGAAAACAATCTGGAAGGATACAATTTTGAAGTTATTTCCTTGTTTTGTCCAAGAAAATTGCATGGACTGTGTCTGGGAAGTCACTGAGAAGCCACCCTTGACTTGAAGAGGCATTTATTGTATGTGTATTTTACATTAAAATTACACCTTTATTGTAAGTTTTGGAGGAGCTGTGCAGTTGCTCCCAAAGCTTCAGGATCTCACTGGCTCTGTAGCCTCAGAATATGCAACTCTGGTTTTATCCTGTTGAGTGAAATAGCCCAACCTCCAATTTATGAGGTGTTCTGTTTATCTAGGCAAATTTTCCGGCCCAACTACTTATCTAATTTGCCTGAATGCTTCCAATCAATGTGTAAAAAAGCACAAGTATAATTTGTAATCCAATTATTTCCTCCTAACCAGTTGCCTTCCACATTTGATAACAGACATATAAATCAATGACAATTCAGTCATTTCTTCTGAATTCTAGACCTCCTGTTTGGGAATTTTTAAACGTTGCAAAGAATATAGAAACAGAGAAAGACAGGAAAAGTGGAAATGCATTCATCCAAGCTTGCTTACATGCTGCCGTTCACCTCAATTAAAAACCATATGTTGCAGTGTTTCTCAACTTTAGCAACTTGAAGATGTACGGACTTCAACTCCCAGGATTCCTCAGCCATCATAAGGCTGAGGCAAGGAATCTTGGGAGTTGAAGTCCATATATCTTCAAGATGCCATGGTTGAGACTAATCTATGATATATAAACCTGTAAATATGAAATGAAGAACAGCCAAGAAACAGGCAATTTATCAGAGGAAGGTCAAGGCCAGGCTTCTGTTGTCACAAAGGATGCCACAGTTATCCCATTCCAGTTCCAAGCAACTGCTCAGCTTTGGAAATGGACATAACTTACCATTACATAATGGACATAACTAAGATATAGTTAATTTCCACTATGCTTTGTGGACAAACCGTAAGACCTGGTTTATTCATAATATTAAGTGAAATCATGGTTTACAAAGTACAGTGATTATGTTCATGCATACACTAGGCCAAAATAAGTCACATTATTGTTTTTTGTCAACATACATAGAAGAAAATATGATTACAAAACTTAGAAATGAGAAAATCATACGCTGGGAAAATCAGGCAGTTCAAATGAGTATAAAGATTTATTGCAAGCTTGAGCTCTCTGCAAGAATCTGGTCAACTAACAGTCAAAGGAAATGAGGGGGAGATAAGAAGGCATTGAAGTTGGGCTGAACTTAGATCTCTTGCAGGCACGCAGGGACTCATGACTTATGATACCTTTGACTCCTCCCTCAGGCTCAGCCTGGCCATCTCCTACATCGGATACAGGTGGACCTCAACTTACAACCATTTGTTTAGTGACAGTTTGAAGTTACAACAGCGTTGAAAAAGTGACTAATGACTGCTTTTCACACTTACGAGTATCAAGGACTAGCTGCAATACATTACCCTGTTCAGCTAAAAGCAGTATCCATGTATAAATTTGATGCTGTGTTTAATTAAATCATGGCACAGAGGTTAGGAGAACAGTACCCACAACCATCTTAAACGCTTTTCTCTCCCTAAACTCAAACCTAAATAAGTTTCTGTTGTTTTTTTAATATATTTCTATCTCACCTTTAGAATTGGCATGAGATCTGGCAAGCTGTGAGGCTTGCAGAAAGTTGGCTCTATCTGGATGCCAACTTCTACAGTTCAACAATATATTATTTTTTACAAAAAGGCATATTGAGTTTACAAAATATTATTTTAAAATCACGCAATTTAATCAAATTTACTACTGTGTGGATACTCCTAGCTCGGATTCAGCAGTTGCATCCAGAGGTCTCAAACTAGCTAAATATAGAAATTTTAAATATATATATCTCATAAGCTTGGTTACGCAAAACATACAAATGAGACATTTCCTGAAAGTCGAAGCAATGCCTTAAAAAGCCAAAAATGTAAATATATTCTTATAAAAATCTGGGCAAAGTACCAACTGCGTTAAAATAGCAATTCTGAATAGTTTACCACTATTTTTCAGCCAATACTTCATGCCACCGACTTTGGCTTTGGGAAATCAAGCTGTGATCACTCAATGAGTGCCATCTTTTAAATTTGAAAACAAGCCAGTTTTCCTTTTAGATGATGAGATAAACAGGTTGAAAAGAAGCAAGACTTGCAACACAATACAGGAAGATAGATTGCATCTGCTCAAGATGCCAGCCTGTTATATAGCCTCTCTAATTTTCCATTTTCTCACATCCCAAGATTCTGCCAGTAATTTACTGCACCCACTTTTCATTGAGTTATTTTTTTGGGAGACATTCTGTAGCCCAGGGATGAAATCCAGCAGATTCTGACAGATTCTGGAGAACTGGTAGCGGAAATTTTGAGCAGTTCAGAGAACCGGCAAATACCACCTCTGGCTGGTCCCAGTGTGGGGTGGGAATGGAGATTTTGCAATATCCTTTCCCCAGGAGTGGGGAGGGAATGGGGATTTCCCTGGAGTGGGGTGGGAATGGAGATTTTGCAGTATCTTTCCCCTGCCACGTCCATCAAGTCACGCTCACCAAGCCACACCATGCCCACCAAGCCATGCCCACAGAACCAGTAGTAAAAAAATTTGGATTTCACCACTGCTCTAGCCCCTTGGGGCATCCCCACCCCCCTTTGTAAGTTCTACAGTAGTAGAAACTTCCTGTGGCTGATTGATTGCTCTCTCTTGTGCATTAACTCAGCTGTTTTGATTATAAAAACCATTTCTGAGCAGTGTTCAGAGAAGTCAACCAGGATTGTTGCATCAAACAACTTCCAGAATTTTCAATCAGAGTGGCCAGTACGTCCAAAGGTGCACCAGGTGCGTCTTACATGCCAAGGTGCAAGAAATGGTTTCTCTTCCTATAAGACCTGCTAGTTTGAACCTTTCATTGCAAAGCTAAGAACTACTTCTCTGGGGTCCTGCAGAGTCTGTCATAATTTTATTTATTTATCTGCTGCGAACTCTGCATTGGCAACAGGAAGGGCACCCGGCCAGTAAACACTCAGCTCCATTCAGTTGCCCCGACTCCACCCCGATGTAAGGGATTACGGTGTCATTAAAAGACACACACAAAAAATCTATTCTAAGTCAATAGAGCCACCCCTGTCATGAGCATACAGCAAAATTGATTCATTTATAACCTGCCCTTATTATTTTTATAAGTAACTCAAGGCAGCAAACATAATCAGTATTCCTCCTTCTCCTATTTTTCCCACAACCACCACCTTGTGAAACGGATTGGACTGGGAGAGAGTGACTGGGCCAAAGTCACACAGATGCCTTTCATTCCTGAGGCGGAACTAGAACTCCCAGTCTCCAGGTGATCAGCCCAAAGTCACCCAGTTGGCTTTCATGCCTAAGGCAGGAATAGAACTCAAAGTCTCCTGTTGATTGGTTGGAAGTTACCCAGCTACCTTTCATGCTTAAGGCGGGACTAGAACTCCCAGGCTCCTGGTGATTAGTCCAAAGTCACCCAGCTGGCTGTCATGCTTAAGGCGGGACTAGAACTCATAGTCTCCTGGTGATTAGCCCAAAGTCACCCAGCTGCCTTTCGTGGCTAAAGTGGGACTAGAACTCACAGTCTCCTGGTGATTGGTTCGAAGTCACCCAGCCGGCTTTCATGCTTAAGGCGGGACTAGAACTCCCAGTCTCCTGGTGATTAGCCCAAAGTTACCCAGCTGCCTTTCGTGGCTAAAGTGGGACTAGAACTCACAGTCTCCTGATGATTGGTTCAAAGTCACCCAGCTGGCTTTCATGCCTAAGGCAGGACTAGAACTCACAGTCTCCTGGTGATTGGCCTAAAGTCACACGGCCAGCTTTCAAGCCTAAAGCGTGACTAGAACTCGCTATCTCCTGACTTCTAGCCTGGTGTCTAGACCAAACTGTCTCTAGTTTGTTTGTTTTTTCGAAGTTTGAAACGCTGCCATAACTGTGCCTCAGAGCTTCTAAACAAGGAAGGTTAATTATTTTTCAAGGAACAGAAGCAGCAAACAGCAGGTTGACTTTGAAAATTCCAGCTAAAAGCCCATTTGGTTCTGCTGGCTCAGTGATCCATCAAGAGTGGTCCATCCGGGTGCCTTAAGTGCTCGTCAAAGGAATTCCGTTTTGCTCTCCTGATGCTGCTTTGTCGCTGAGCCGCTGCTGGAAATACACGCCTGGGCCTTTTTTGTCAAGATGACATGATGAATCTCTTCAGACACCGCTGTGAGACCTGAAGAAAAATTCGGCTTTGCCCTGTCATGACTCAGCGCACCTCCACCAAAAAGCAGCAGGATTGAAGGCCGGAGCCTGGCACCTGCTGCTTTGAGGCACTGCAGAACACCGCTAATTGAGAGAGGCAACACCGTTGGGCTGTCAGATATGCAGGCCGTAGCTTTTTAGGAGTGACAAAGACGCAACAGCAGGAATCGGTGCTGTGCAGTGGGTCACTGGAGGAGGAGGAAGAGAGGAAGGGGTCGGTGGAGGGATGATTTATGCAGATTTTGAACGGATTCAGTACATCCTTTTCCCAGACATTTGCATGGCCTTCATAGTTTTTTTAAAAAAAATATTAAAGCCAAATGAGGATAGTCCTATATACTGTATCTTACAGGAAAAAAATGACCTTTGGGAACTATCTAGTTTTTTTAAAATGTGGTTTATTTGTGTGTGTGTGTGTATTGTATATGTCAGAGGTGGGCTTCACATAATTTAACAACTGGCTCGCCCCCAGCACCGAAAATATGAGTGTTCTCTCGTGCGCTTGAACGCATGCGCATGGCTTAAAAAAACGCAGCTAAATAGGACGGCATAGCACCGGGACGGGTGGGGGGGGAATGGGCCCACCTGCAGGTCACAACTACCGAACTGGTCCGAACCAGCTGAATCCCACCCGTTATATGTTTGTATGTGTGTATGTATGTATATTAGTGTATGTACTGTATGTGTATATATCTATATATATCTATACATACACACACAGGTGTGTGTAAGTAAATATTACCCTGGCTTTTTATTTTTCATGAATAAAAATAAACAAAGTAGCAAGGGTACCTAGTCATTCTTCATCCTCCTATTTTCCCCATGACAACAACCTTCTGAGATGGGTTGGGATGAGAAAAAGTGACTGGGACAAAGTCACCCAGCTGGGTTTCATGCCTAAACTGGGACTAGAACTCCCAGTCCTCCTGGTGATTAGCCCAAAGTCATGCACCAGCTTTTATGCCTAAAGTGGGACTAGAACTCAGTCTCCTGGTTTCTAGCCAGGCATCTTAAGACTAGACTAAGATAGACCAAAGATATATAAATATGCCTTTGCTTAATCAAATTAGCAGTCTATTTAGCTCAGTGTTCTGGTTTTTGTTTTTTTTTTAACTATCTGTAGTTACTTTCTTAGGGTTTTTGAAGATTTTGAGCTTCTGCAATGCAATCTTAAACTGCTTGTCTCCCATGGGTAAATTGGCTGGAAATAAAGCCAGCTTATTCCAGATTTAACTCTTTGCTCTGCTTTAGCAGCAGTAATGACCTGATGTTCTGTTCAGATTGTGTTGAGCCTGATTCATTCTCCACTGGAGGGAGGGAGAAAGAGAGAGAGGAGAGAGAGAGAGGGAAAGAAAGAAAGAAAGAAAGAGAGAGAGAGAGAGAGAGAGAGAGAGAGAGAGAGAGAGAGAGAGAGAGAAAGAGGGAGGAGAAGAGAGTTTTTTCATTTTACTAGGGCTACAAGGGAAAAGTAGCAGATCTCTTGTCTATTTTATCTGGTAAAAACAAATGCAACATGTTTCACTGTTCCACGCATTAAAAAAAAAACACTTTCTGACGTGGTAATCAATGCCCAGCTGAGAGGTTGCATTCCCTCCTGCTATGATACACAGTAAGCCATTTGAGCACATGGGCTTGCCTACCAAGAAAGCAGGCAGGTAAACCAAAACAACATTATGCGACCTAGTCCAAGTCAGGAAACGCATTTCTTTGGATATGTAGCCGAAAATGGTCTTCTTGTTGGTTGTAGGCAGAGCACAACTGTTGTGCCTTCCTGACCTCCCAAAACGAATGGCCTGAGCATTGAACCTTTCTTGCTTCATCTGGATTGATTGATTGATTGATTGATTTATTTATTTATTTATTTATTTATTTATTTATTTATTTATTTATTTGATTTATATGCCGCCCTTCTCCGGAGATTCAGGACGGCTTACAATGCGTTAAGCAATAGCCTTCATACTTCTGTATATACCTGCTTAGCAGGGCTTTTGGCTCCCCTCTAAGCGGTGTTCTTTTTTATACAAAGTCAGCTTATTGCCCCTACAAACCGGGTCCTCATTTTACCTAACTCGGAAGGATGGAAGGCTGAGTCAACCTTGAGCCTGGCGAGATTCGAACTTGCAGTAATTGCAGGCAGCTGGCAACTAAGTGCTATTTAACAGCAGCTTTAGTCCGCTGCTCCACCAAGGCTCCTTCCTTTGTCAGCAAAGATCCTTCAGAAAGATTCAGGGGATGCTTTTCCTAAATTATGTTGGTGGAGCTTTTAGTCTTCAACGCCTTCTTTACTTCCAGGAAACGAAGTGGGAGAGTTGATAGAGTACAATCCCAATTTGCTTGATGACCCGCAGTGGCCGTGTGGGAAACACAAACGTGTCCTCATCTTTGCATCATACATGGTAAGGTGTTTTAGTGCAGATTCTTAACAAGTACAATAGTTAAGCATTTGTGATGTATTTCCCTATGCGTTTTATTTACCTGCATGCAGCGAAGGTTGTATCCTCGTTCCCCTGACTGGTTATAAATTACTGTGGGAGAGCTATGATGGTTATGCTATTTTCTACACAACATATAGGTGGCCCTTGACTTACAGCTATTCGTTTAGCGACCATTTGAACAGTACTGAAAAAAATCCTGGCTTGCAACCAGGATCCCAGGATCGTCATTTACAACCTTCCCAGTCAGTGTGATGACCCGGGACACAGCACGAAGGCCACACAGCCAGCTGAGAGTTCAGACTCCCTTTTAATGCTCCAACTTTCCCCCAAATGCTCCCACATTCTTGGCAAGACCCAGAGCAAAGCGTGCACGCACACACACACACACACACACACACACACACACACAGAGCAGCCTCTGGCTGCGAGAAGTCCAGCGAGGCAAAGGAACAGGAAATGAATCCACGAAGCAAGGAATAAGGCACTGAGTCCACAAAGCAACGAAGAAGCAAGCAGTCCTGCAAACACCAGACGTCGGCAACAGCACACAAAACTCCACAAATTCGGTATTTGTTCCCAACAAACGCCCCTCCCCACAGCGTCTCCTTATGTCTCATTCCCCAGGTGTGCCTTGTGAAGAGGGGCGGGGCGCTCTCTTCCAGAGTCATCAGGTTAGCCTGTGCTGTTCCTGTCTTCTTTCCACCCTCCGTGCTCGGGGAACAGGAGGGGGCGGTCCTTGCTCATCGCCTGATCTCCATCACTCCTCATTTTCACTACCTGCCCACTCTCTGTCATCCTGCCCCTGTTCCTCCTGCTGGCAAGCTATCCCAAGCCTGAGGGGCCCCAGGCTGCCTCGTCCTGCTCCTCCCCACATTCCTTCAAAGCCAAGGAAGCTACCCCCTCAATCTCCATTGGCCCCAGCTCTGGCTCGTCCCACTCCGCAGATTCGTCCCCCTCCGCAGATTCAGGCTTCGACAGGGGCATGACAATCAGCTTTCAACAAGCGAAGGCCATGGAGAAGTCAGATTCAGTTAACAACTGCAGTGATTTGCTTAACAACCATGGGGGAAAAAAAGTCATAAAATCAGGCGTAACTCACTTAACAAACGCCTTGCTTTTGACCACAAGAATTGTGGTCATAAGTTGAGAACAACCTGTGGTTTTCGGTTCTTTTCACATCTTCCTAGTAACTCGGCGTTGGCGTTACAGCTTCACCATTCTGGGATCCAAGATCATATTGATTTTGAAACTAGATAGAATTGTGATCAATATACCCCATATTCTTATTTTTAGTGTCATTTTCCTGACTTAGGTTCTCTTGACTCCCAACATTTCTGTACAATAAAGGAGAAAGAGGCTTACACAAATATTCCTTTTTTTTTTTTTTCCCTGCACCACCTCCCTTCCTTAGCAAACTGCAGTTCGGTGACCACTGTTAACCAAATAATTTATTTCATTCTGAAATGGCACGTAATGGACTTTAATCTGCAGAATTAATTACCACTGTATGGCCACTGACTTAGACGGCATTGAAAGCAAAGAGAATAGTTTATAGAAGTTCATTCATGTGGAGCTCTTAGTGATAACAAGGCGCTTTTTTTTCCCCATTTGAAACTTCAACGTTCTGTTTCCTTCTACTCATTTTTCATGTGCTGCTTTAATCAGCTTCTAGTTCTAATATGATTCTAGATCGCCAAGCGGGGGAGGGGGCTGATCTTGTGACTTGTGGGGGAAAACTAATCTGACTACTGGATCAATTTTCCCCACAAGCCACCAAACAACTGTACGTCTGTGGAGATTCTCAGTCATCCAGGTCATGGTTATCCCAAAGGTGCGATTTTGGAGAGGCAACTGGACTTTCTAGTTTTTCTTTGGGGATGTTTCGCTTCTCATCCAAGAAGCTTCTTCAGTTCTGACTGGATGGTGGAGAATGGGAAGAACGGAATGGAACTGTTGAAAGAAGTGTGTCTACAACAATGTCCTTTCAACAGTTCCAGGAAGGCTTCACACCCATTTGCACTACTCAGGTGACCCTGAAGACACAGATAAACCTCCAGGTGGCCTCAATAACTCTCTAAAACAGGGGTCCCCAAACTTGGCAGCTTTAAGCTATGCTGGCTGGAGAATTCTGAGAGTTGAAGTCCACAAGTCTTAAAGCTGCCAAGTTTGAAGACCTCTGCTCTAAAAGAACACAAATGACCAGCTGTCTGCAAGGACTATAAATCCTTCCATTCTCCACCAGACAGAGCTGAAGAAGCTTCTTGAATGAGAAGCGAAACTTCTTCAAAAAAAACCCCAAGAAAGTCCAGTTGCCTCTTGAAAAGGCACTTTTGGGACAATCATGACCTGGACGACTGAGAATCTCCATAGACATGGAGCTACAGATTGCTTATCCTTACTTCCCATTATGTGCAAAACCTATTATGGAACATTTAAAAACTATTCCGCATCATTTAGACCATTTCTCCTTTTGATCATGCCAATCATGTTGCGTAGCTATTTCCCCCCAAAAAAATCCTGCCAGAACTGGAGGCTCTCAGCATGGTCAGAGGGGAAAAAAAAACACCTGGAATTATCCCAGGGTTCCGGGGAATGCTAGGTTTCCCTTACACTTACTTGCACCTGCAACTAAAAACCCGCACAGTCTCTCTGCAAAAGCAATATGCAGCTGAAAGGTTATAGGGACTCTATAACCGAACAGTAAATTAGGCATTCAAATTGTAATAATCATAATCATAACAACAACTTTATTGTCATTGTATGTGTATACAGTATACCCATATAACGAAATTCACTTAACACCCAAAGACCAGGTCCAACACACATAACAATCCCCAAACACACTCCCACTCACCACAATTCCCCACCCCTAAACCACCCAAACATCCACACAACAGACCAAGTAATGCTGTCCAACAGCTCACTGATGGTGGCCCTTTAGTTCATTGTTGAGTGCAATGATACATTGGCATCCTTCAGTCTCAAGTGCTCTGGAAAGAACTAAAACAGCATCTAGTGTGACTAAAAAGGCCAATTCGAGAGTGGCAATCCCTTCCACACTGAGGGCATATACATTCTGTCTCCTGCCCAGCCCCCAGATTTCACTGGTTCCGGGACTGCCTCTTTGCCTCAGCCTGCCGAACAAGTGTCTCTTCGAATTGGAGAAGGCCATGTTGCGTCTTTAGCCTCCAAGCTGAACGATCGGAGGTCAAGGTTTCCCAGTTGTTAATGTCCATTCCCAGGGCTGTTAGGTCCCTCTTGCAGTTATCCTTATATCGCAGCTGTGGTCTCCCTCTGAGGCGCTTTCCTTGCACTAATTATCCATACAATGATAATGCAATGATAGTTCTGGGATAAAAACTATTCAGAAAACGTGTGGTCCGAGTTTTAATTGTTCTGTATCTTCTGCCAGAAGGCAACAGTCCAAAAAGATTGTAAGCAGGATGGGAAGAGTCTCTGAGAATGTTATATAACTTCCTCAAACAGCAAGATTCAAAGATGTCATCCAGGGCTGGTAGCTGGAGCCCAATGATATTCTGGGCAGTTTTAATGATTCTCTGTGGAGCTTTTCTGTCCGTATTCAAATTTATTCCAATTCGTATCTCAACTACAGGCACCGTGGCCTAAGGCAAGCCTAGATCGGGGCATTACACGCATAAATGGAGTTTATATAACCTCTAGGGCAGTGCAGATATTATCACAAACCTACATTTTTCTCTTTTGAAGCACACATGAATAGTTTCAGCAGCCGTGGTCAAACACCCGGTGATGAGCAGTAATGTTTTCCTAATGATCTCTCCAGCAGGCTCGGCTTCCGTTAGCAAGCCGACTCAAATCCTAATGAGCTCAGATTCAACTTCTGAATTTCAGTTACCAAGCAAACTAGTAAACTCCTAAAAGCTGGAGCAATTTCTCTGCATCTCCTGTTATTACCTGTCTTGTGTTTAAACCCGGTGTATTCGCTGTTAAGGTTGCGCTTCTCAACCCAGACAAACTCACCATTCTGTTTGAAGTGCTAAGTGTTGCAGGATTAAATGATTATTAAAAGGCTTCGGAAACCTTCTGTCTTAAAACAAGATTAGCCTTGTAACCCTATTGACCTAGTTAGGGGAGGACTTGACTCCGATGCCAGGACAAAGATGAGCAAACTTAGTATAACTTAATACCAGCTAAGGATTATTTTGGTGCAAAGTTCAATTTAATGGGGTGCAGCTGAAACAAAGCACTGAATTCTACTGCCTAGTGCTGTGTAGAATATATGAGCCTTCTACATTTTTGATAGAATATTTGTAGCTAAGGATTGAACGGTGGGTTCCGTGGTGCTCTCTGAACTTGTTGGTTTTCTTACAGACGTTTCATTACCCAACTAGGCAACATCATCAGTGCACCTAGTTTGGTAATGAAATATCTGCAAGAAAACAACCAAGCTCAGAGAGTCCCCAACGACCCCACCGTTCTATATTTTTGCCTAGTGTTAGATTTAACCTTAAACATTGATTGATTTAGCAGATTTATATAGCTGCCTGTCTCACATGTACAATTCCGAGCAGCCTACAAAATTAAGCACAGAAAAACAAATCAACAAAATAACCAGACTCTAATGGAAAATAAGCGAGGACAGCGTTTCCCAAACTTGGCAGCTTTAAGATGGCTGGCTGGAGAATTCTGGGAGTTGAAGTCCATGCATCTTAAAAGCTGCCAAGATTGAAAAACACTAGACTAGAGAGAAACTGAGCAGTTTTAGCTGCAGCTAACATTCTACTGGACTTTCAGTCTTCCTTTTGTCAGTTGTCTAAACACACCTTTGATTTCAGAAGATTATCAAGCAAGATAGGAATGCACCATCAAGCAGCCTCAGGAATGTATGATCCTGCAGACATTTTACATCATCAATGCAAACCCCACTCCCTTTTAGCATTGAAGATCTTACCTAATTTGGCATTGAAACGTCTACAAGAAAACAACCAAGCTCAGAGAGCATCCACGACCGCAATGTTCTTAATATCCAGCTCTTAGGAAACAAAGGAACATATACCGAAGTAGTTTTCTGGTGTTGAATTGAACACAGATAACATTTTCTGTCTGTGTCTGGTTTCTGAGTGGTTATTTTCAAACAATGTCAATCAAATGTCCACACAAACCATCCAGCATCGGAAGGAAAAGGGGGTTATAGAGAAATAAATGATTAAATTAACATGATCAAGCTGAACTTCTGAGGAAGAAACTAACTTGGTCTGTTATATAAAATACTGCTATCTACAGGCCCCTCACATCCTGGACATAAGTTGTTTCAACTTCTACCTCAAAATGACGCTATAGGGCACTGCACACCAGAACAACTAGACACGACAGTTTTTCCCCACATGCCATCACTCTGCTAAACAACTAATTCCCACAACACTGTCAAACTACCGGTATTTACTAAGGCTGTATTACTATTATTCTTCTCATCCTTCCTATTTCCTATCTCCTCCCACTTATGACTATAACCATGTTGCTTGTATTTTTATGATTTATATTGTTCTGTTTGTTTCCTAGTATGATTTGATTGCTTATTAGTAACCTATGACTTATCATTAAGTGTTATATCTTAAGATTCTTGATGAATGTATTTTCTTTTTTCCTTTTATGTACCCTGAGAGCATATGCACCAAAGACAAATTCCTTGTGTATTCAATCACACTTGGGCAATAAAGAGTTCTGTTCTATTCTATTCTATTCTATTCTATTCTATTCTATTCTATTCTATTTCTATTCTATTCTATTCTATCTATTCTATTCCATTCCTCTATTATTCCATTCCATTCCATTCCATTCCATTCCATTCCATTCCATTCCATTAAGTTATTTTTGGTGTCTCACATTCTCTTTCTCAGTACAAATTTCTAAATAAATCCTTTTTTTTTTAATTTCAGACCACCGTGATCGAATATGTAAAACCCTCAGATCTTAAAAAGGATATGAATGAAACATTTAAAGAAAAATTTCCTTACATCAAGCTCACACTCAGCAAAATCAGAAGGTAAAAAAATTGTTTGGGAGACATGAAAATCACTTCTGTTTCTCAGTCCTGTCTTTGGAACAGACTTCTTTCTATCCAGATTTGTATCAGAGTGGTTTTATCTGTAAATGTTTACAGCTCAATCTTGCATAAGTATTAATAAATATGAGGAAATACATATAACCTTACAGACTTGAGTATTGAGTACTGCAGGCTACTTCTGCTGCCTGCCGGCTGCCTGCAATTTGGCCGTTCAAATCTCACCAGGCTCAAGGTTGACTCAGCCTTCCATCTTTCCAGGGTTGGTAAAATGAGGACCCAGATTGTTGGGGGCAATAGGCCGACTCTGTAAACCGCTTAGAGAGGGCTGTAAAGCAGTATATAAGTCTAAGTGCTATTGCTATTATGAGTTATGTGATACATTATTTACAAGTTGTCAATTCAGTGCTCCATCCCAAAATATATTCTATGGCACCAGTCATAGAACCATAGTTAATAACTATAGCAGTATAGTTAGGAGGTGAGGTATTACTATTTCCTTCTTTTTCATGCTAATTATATTAAGAATTGGGGGTATTGATTCTGTAATGAATCAGTTAAATATGCTGTGATTCTGTAATGAATAGTTGTTAAATAAGCTGTGATGTAGTTTAAACCGATGATTCTTAACTCAGCTATTTTAAGATAGCTCAATTCAACTCCCAGAATTCCTCAGCCAGCTTAAAGTTGCTGAGGTTGAGAAACACTGGCCTAAGCACAGATTTAATTCCTACCATGAAGTATAAATCTTAATATCTGGTTTAGTTTTGGTTAGAAGACGATACTGGGAAAAGTTTTGTTCTTAGCTTGTTTCATACCCATGTTTCTGCATCTTCTATTTTACATAGAAATCAAGCATGAGCAATCAAACCGTCTAGCATATTTTGAATGCTTTTGGTCCTAACAGTGCTCCAGTTCTGTACAGTTTTTGACTAGAACGGAGAAACATATTTAAATTTGAAAAATTTCAACTGAAACCAGAGTACTGAGACAGCAGTGTGCAGCAGCAGCCAAAAAAGCTAATGGTTGTATAAACACAAGCATAGAATCAAAATCACGTGAAGTAATAGTACTGCTTTATAAAGCCTTAGTAAGGCCATACCTGGAATACTGCACCAGTTTTGGTCACCACCTTACAAAAAAGATGTTGAGACTTTGGAAAAAATCCAAAGAAGAGTGTCAGGGCGCTGATTAATCCCATTCTGCCTTTGGGATAATCGCACCTTGATTAAGAGGGGTGGATCGAGACCTTTCCTTGCCAGCATACTTTAAGAAAACAAACCGGAAGATATATCTTCTAAGAAAAACTCATTTATTTGTTATAAAGAAAATAAAAAACATCTTACTAATCTAATAAAATTAATTGTTACATTTTTGCAAAAGTTCTTATCGGCTACTTCTCAGCAGCTGGACTTCTCTTGGCAAGAGAAGAAAGTAAAAGTGTGAGAAGGAATGTGGGTGAAGAGACATGCGCAGTTTAGCTTACTGATAAGGATTCTTGGCAAGCTACGGAAAGTCTGATAGTCCAGAAATGAGAGCTCAGCTGGTAAATAAAAAACGCAGTGACAAAGAGCAACTAAGATGACTAAAGGCCTGGAGACAAAAACATGTGAAGAATGGTTGCAGGATTTTGATTTGGCTATTCTAGAGAAAAGTAAGGCTGGGGGGGAGATGATAGCAGTATTTCAGCATTTGAGAAGTTGCCACAAAGATGAGGGGGCTCCACTTATTTTCCAAAGCACCAGAGAGCAGGATAAGAAACGATGGATGAAAACTAATCAAGGAGAGAAGCAACCTGAAATCAAGGAAAAAATTAACCAGTGGAACAGCTTGCTTCATCATTGGAGGTTTTTAAAAAGAGACTGGACAGTCACATGTCTGAAATAGTATAGGGCCGTGATGGCGAACCTCTGGCACGCGTGCCAGAGGTGGCACGCAGTGCCCTCTCTGATGGCACATGAGCCGTAGCCCCAGTTCAGCTCCGCCGTGCATGCACGCATGCCTCCTGCCAGCCAGCTGGTCTTCGGGTCTTTGCCATGCATGCGCAGGAGCAGGGCACGTGTGGGGGGCCATGCGCACATGTGCGGGGGGCATGCAGGGGGCTGTGTGTGTAGGGAGGATGTTGCGAGGGGCCGCATGTGCATGCGCAGTGCCTGTGATGCACATGGAGGGGCGAGGGGCATGCACATTGCATTTTGAGGGTTCTGGGGGCGTGCCCATGCGCATGTGCTTTGGGTACTCGGTCTGGAAAAGGTTAGCCATCACTAGTATAGGGTCTCCTTCTTAAGCAGGAGGTTGGACTAGAAGACCTCGACAGTCCCTTCCAGTTGTATTCTGATTAAGGAAACCTCACAGAGAGTGTCTAATACAGTTTCAGCTTAACTAATATGTCGTAAGCTTGAAATAAAAATGGAACCAGTTTGGAAACCATTCCAGTAAAGATGAAGCACTTGCCCTGACATTAGAATAACCATTTTCAAACAGTCATTCTAAACTCAACATTTTGAGCTTGAAAGCTTTTCCACACTTCTGTTTTTTACCTCTTGATCCATCTCTCTCTAGGATATAGGCCTAATTTAGTTCACCTTCCTTCTGAATATCAAACAGATTGAAAGGACACTGAAGAAATTCTATGTAAACCTGAATCAAAGTTGTTGTCATGAAATAGGAGCATGCTTTAAAAAAAAATCTGCTTCATTGTAGTTATTTCATTCTCTTCTCATTATACAGACATTCCTTAGCTTACAACTTGTCACTTGGCAACCATTTGAAGTTATGAGTCCCCCCCACCCCCACCCCAAGTACTTGTGACCAATTCTGAAATCCCAACAGCTACCCTTCTTGTGGTCACATGACCGCAAAAAAAGGTTGCAAAATTGGGTCAATCACATAGCTGCGAGCTCCATTGTGGTCATAAATTGAGGACTGCCCGTAATAACATTCCACAGGCTTATAACGTTCCATATTTCCTTGTCATACAGCATTGGTAGTTGATGATATTTCTGATTCTGCAAGAAATTGCACAATCCAGTTCTAATGTATAGGAAAGAAGTCCGATATTTGCTCCTTTCCCTGATTTTCTTCCAATTGAACAACCCTCTGTGGGGATTGCCCCTTAGCCATGTTCATCTTAGCCATATTCTATCTCCTGTATGGGGTCCAGTTGCTGCTTCTTAAAGCCCCAAAGATCAGAGAACTCACCTTTCTCTGCCTCTTTATGAAAAGGTCCGTTCTAAAACATACATGGGGAGGGAGGGGAGCGATGGCTTAGCGGTTAAGGATGCTGAGCTTATCAGTTGAAAAAATGACAGGCCAGGTTTGAGACTTGAGTGCCATGAGCAAGAGTGAGCTCCCGTTCCTTGCTCCAGCTCCTTCCCACCTAGCAGTTCAAAATGATGCAAATGCGAGTAGATAAATAGGTACCACTTCCGTGGGAAGGTAAACAACGTTCCATGCGCCTCGGCATATTGTCATGCTGGGCGCATGACAACAGGAAATGTCTTTGGACAATGCTTGCTTCCTCAGCCAAGAAACTGATACGAGCACCACTCCTAGAGTCAGGCACAACTGAACAAGAGAAACCTTTCCCTTTAAAACAGGGGTGTCAAACTCAAGACCTCAGGGGTGCTTAGATCTGGCCCGCAGGGCTGCCCTAGAAACAGCGAAGGACCAGCCTGCGGGACCTCTGCCAGCCCTCCTGGGCTCCATTTTCACTGACAGAGGACTGCAGGATGTTGAGCTGGCCACGCCTACCCTGGCCACGCCCGCTCACCTTCCCCCACCCAGGTCAAACACAACCCTGATGCGGCCCTCCATGAAATCGAGTTTGACACGCCTGCTTTAAAAGAAAAAGGTTCCCTTCACATGTGCTAGTCGTTCCCAACTCTAGCGGGTGGTGCTCATTTCTGTTTCAAAGCCGAAGAGCCAGCGCTGTCTGAAGTCATCTCTGTGGTCATAATCGCCAAAGGTGCACAGAATGCTGTTACCTTCCCACCAAAAGTGGTCCCTATTTTTTCTACTGGCATTTTTTACATGCTTTCGAACTGCTAGGTTGGCAGAAGCTGGGACAAGTATCGGGAGCTCACCCCGTTACGCAGCACTAGGGATTCGAACCGCAGAACTGCCGACCTTTCAATCGACAAGCTCAACGTCTTAGCCACTGAGCCACCGCGTCCCTTGCTTTAAAACATACATATTTCGCCTAATTCTGAAGTTTTCTCTCATCTGTCTGGAAAAAATGATTTTTGATTCTTGTTCCACTTCCTTTTCCCTTGCAGTTTAAAGAGAGAAATGCGGACCCTGAGTATGGAGTGCAATCTGGAGCCAATTACTGTGTCCATGGCTTACGTCTACTTTGAGAAGCTCGTCCTCCAAGGAAAGCTCAACAAACAAAACCGAAAACTGTGTGCCGGTGCTTGTGTGCTCCTCGCAGCCAAGATTAGCAGTGATCTCAGGAAACATGAAGTCAAACACCTAATTGATGTAAGTACAGCTGGGATATCTTCCAGGGTCTCCAACTCTTTGAAAACGCTAAAAATTCTCAAATGATTTTTTTTTTCCCCTCTTACACTTGACACATAAATCTTTGCAAGCTTGCAAATAAATAACATTGAATGGAAATATATACATTTTGATAAGAGGCTGGAAATGCAAAGTTAGTTTTAAATAATTGTGGTACGAATAACCTGCACCTGGTTGTCACTGTAAATACACGAGGAAAATTAGAAAGAATGCAGGGTGGAATTGTTGGCAGTGCTTTGAAGCTACCATTTGGATGTCAGGATTGTGATGAAAATAATAGTAATAATGTTGTCTCTGCAACACCAGCTCCAGATTGTCTGCTTAATGGATCATCAGCCAAATGATTGTGTTACTTTGGAATGAGAAATGATTCCAGATTTAAATTGTACTGGGACTGGATCTCCTTGGTTATTGTCAAAATAATTTGAGTTTCTCTGAAGCAGATCCATTTGTTCATATGCACCAGTTTTTAATTTTCTTCTCCTGTTATCTTGCTGATAATGGCATCAAGCAATTTCTTTTTCTATTCTTTGTCTGACACTGGAGTTATTTTTTTTTCATGCATCCTAGTTCTATTCATGCCTTCTGATAATAAGCCCTGCTCTTTTCAGTGAGACTTGTTCTCAAATAAATGAGCTATCTCTTTGTTGCCCTTCAGTGTATTACTACACTCCGTTTACCTTATAATAAATCATTGTTGATGGGCCAAGTACCTACAATTGGTAGGCAGTTTGGTTCTTTACCAGAAAACAGCACCAGGGTCTGTCATCCTCCTGAAGCCATGTAATTACTGTACTTTTCGGAGTATAAGACGCACTCCCCCGCCCCCCAAACAGAGGGTGGAAATGTTGGTGCGTCTTATACACCAAATACAGCCATTTTTGGCCTCCCAAAAATGGGCGTGCAGAGGTTTTGGGAGGCCTGCAGAGTACTGCTAGGGGCTGGGGAAGGCAAAAATGCCCCCATTTTTGCGAAAAATGGGTGAAAAACGGCCTATTTTTCACAAAGATGGGGCACACAGAGGGTTTGGGAGGCCTGCAGAGTGCTCCTAGGGGCTGGGGAGGGCAAAAACCTTTTTTTTCTTGCTTACCTCTTCAAAATATTGGTGCGTCTTATACACCGGTGCATCTTATAGTCTGAAAAATACAGATAGTTCTAACTTTCTTTGCAATAAACATCAGCAAAGCAATGCATTGCAATTGCAAAAGTATTAGTTCTGCAGAAGACCCAAGTCACTTTCTCCTATCCTATTATGTAACCCATTTGGTGTGCCTCTCACTGGGCTGCTAAATCTGTCTGGCCTTCAGGCCGTGACTTTTTTCAGAATACTGCAGTAAGTCAGAAATGGCAGCCTGCAGGCTAAATGGAAATGGGGCCATGGAAATTCAGTGGCAAAATGTTAATCCCCACTCCAGGGTAAGGAGGAGACAAACCACTCCAATTTCCAATTTCACTCACAGAGAGGGAGAGGGAGAGGAGAGAGAGAGAGACAGGGAGAAGGAGAGGGGGGAGAGAGAGAGAGGGAGAGGGGGGAGAGAGAAACAGAAAGGGAGAGGGGGGAGGGAGAGGGGGGAGAGGGAGAGGGGGAGAGAGAGGGAGAGGTGGGAGGGAGAGGGAGAGGGGGGAGAGAGAGACAGAGAGGGAGAGGTGGGAGAGAGAGGGAGAGGGAGAGGAGAGAGAGAGAGACAGGGAGAGGGAGAGGGGGGAGAGAGAGAGAGGGAGAGGGGGGAGAGAGAGACAGAAAGGGAGAGGGGGGAGGGAGAGGGGGAGAGAGAGACAGGGAGAGGGGGGAGGGAGAGGGAGAGGGAGAGGGGGGAGAGAGAGACAGAGAGGGAGAGGGGGGAGAGAGAGGGAGAGGGAGAGGGGGGAGAGACAGAGAGGTAGAGGTAGAGGGGGGAGAGAGAGACAGGGAGAGGGAAAGGGGGGAGAAAGAGACAGAGAGGAAGAGGGAGAGGGGGGAGAGAGAGACAGAGAGAGAGAAAATTTCCATCCTTCCAGTGTTATCACTTACAGCCTCAGCTAGTCAGTTGCCATCTCTCATCCTTGAAAATTACTCACCCTGAAGAAAGTGGTATACTTTTTCATACTTCAGTGCTTCTCCATACACTTGCTCCTAGAGAACTAATGTAGTGTATCACACAGTTGCTAAGCACCTGAATTTTGATCACATGACCACCGGGATGCTGCAACCATCACAAGTGGGAAAAACGGTCATAAATTACTTTTTTCAGTGCCATTGTAACTTTGAGTGGTCGCTAAACAAATAGTTGTTTGTCAAGGATTACCTGTATGTTATCACTAAAATAGCTCTGGATTTGTATGCCAAACAAATATGTAGACTGTTGTAAGCGAGGATGCAAAACATGATGCTGTATTTATTTTATTTGTTTCCTGCCTTTACAGAAGTTGGAAGAACGATTCCGATTCAACAGACGAGATCTCATCGGATTTGAATTTACTGTTCTTGTGGCTTTGGAATTAGCTCTTTACCTTCCCGATAACCAAGTGTTACCTCACTTCCGTCGTCTCACACAACAGTCCTAGTCGAAGCTACATTACCACAAAAGCACCAATTTTTAGGTGGATTTGGGGACTGACACCCGGCTTTTCCTAGGTGACAAGATCAAACTGTGTTAAGAATATTCCTGGCAGGGAGTCGATGGTGGGATTTTCATGGAACTACCAAAGTGGGAAATACAATACAGAAAACCATGTGTGAGAAGTGGCAGAAGTGGGAAATTTTTGTTTGAGAAACTAAAGCACAAATTATTTGCATCCAGTTGCCACTAAAGTTGCTAATTATCCTTCATTTAACTTTTTGTTTTCTGGAAACAATCTCTTCTTCTTGCCTGGCATTGCTACTTTATCATTTCCTTACTCTCTTTTTTTCCCCTCTTCTTCAAACTTAAAAGAGCAACACTTCCATTCCTTAATTAGTGCTTCAGAAAAATGACGTTTCGAACCATAAAAACTTGGGGAGGGGAAGAAGAAGGACGTGCCTAAGGCTGGGCTGGTACCAGTCTCTCTTTTTCTCTTTCTTGTTTTTAAAGTTAAGTTACTTGGTGGCAAATTCTGAACTTAAGCAGCAATTTATCCTTTTGCCTTTATTTTCTTGTGCTATAAGGGAAAAAACGTATCTGCACTATCATTTCTGGGAAGGTTGTATATGTTGATGATTCAGTTTTACTTTCTTTTTAAATGAAACGTATTGTTGAAACATTGCACTTGTTGAACAAGGAGCTATATAGCAAAACAGTCTTCATTTTAACGTGTCCCTCAGAGGTTGAGTGAAACCATTGATTTAATGGCAGTAATTTTGACACGTAGCTTCCAGAGCTAATATCTTTCTGTTACTGCTTTCTGTAGCTTGAAAGTAATAACTGTTTTATTTATAACAAAGTGTTCATATATTGTCTTTCCTGTGTGCTACTGACATGTAAATGTCTCAGGCAGTATAGCTGTCATTACCTAAATTAAGCCAATGAAACTCAGCATATCTAACTTCTGTAAAAGTTTTTTTTAAAAAAAACAAAGGTTCTTCCAAGCTTTTTGTCACTGTGATGTTTTAAATGCACATTCAAACCGCCAATCTTACAAAGGCCAATGTCTAGCAGTGTGCTGGGTAGACGCAGTTTTTATACACTTGGACAACGCATTGATTTAAGCATTCAGATGCTAAAATATGAACTTTCTTGAGACTACAAGAGGAGTCAGTAGCTGTCAGGTTTTTTTTTTCCCTAAGCAATATTGTGATATAAATCAAAGTGTCTGTGTATATATGTGATATTTGCCAGTGAACAAAACTGGTTCTTGGATATTGTGATTAATGTCCACATTCTTACTTTTTTAGTGTAACTTTGGCCAGTTTTAGTGAGAGAGAGAGAGAGAGAGAGAGAGATCTTGCAAAATAAGAGGGAAGATAAAGGTGCATCAGTATGGAATGTACCACTGCAGGTATAAAATCACATTTTTGAGCACAGGTACACTGCTACCATCATGACAATGTACAGTAAACAAGCACACTGGGAAGAAGCTTAGAGAACAAATTCTCTCTGATAAGCTGTTTTATGTCAGTAAATGCTGTTTAAACAAAAGCATTTAAAAATATAGGTACACGCCTGATTGAATCTTAAATGGTACAATCAACAACTCTGGGCTGTAGAAACTGAGCCTCTTAGTAAAATAGAGGGCTTTTAGTACCTAGAATGCCACAAATTTTAACTTGGAAATACATATGCTTTGGGATGGAAAGTTGCAAAGGGGGTTAGAAACATCTGGAGTGAAAAATAGTAGGACCCAAGAACGCATTATTTAGCATGAAGAGTTTTGATTTATCTCTGACTTTTCTTGCACTTATGCATGAATGAAAACTAGTAGGAAAAATATTTTTAACCCAAAGTCAGCTTGTTATTGAAATTTGAGCCAACCCAGTTGAGAATGGCTTTCTAATCATGGCTTGGAAATTAATGGTCCTCATCGTATTAATAATACCTGTCAGGTCCTAATTGTAGCCTTTTTTGATACAATGTATAGTAGCGTAACTATTGCTCACAATTAAAAATGTGGTATGTTGCATTTCTTTACAGAATTTCACAGTGTAGGATGCCATCCCAGATTTTCCCAGGAAACTTTAGAAATAATTGGTTGGGTCATTAATTCACCTGAACGGAAAGCAACAGATTTTTTTCCCCCCACAATTCTTCTGATTTTGTTAAACAGTACTAACTTAAACACAGTTGACTTAACTAGCTACACTGTGTTGTAAAATATTTGCCAACTTAATTTTCCAAGTAAGGCAGGTATAAGAGCTGTTGTGGTACAGTGGTTAAAATGCAGTATTGCAGGTTAAATCTGCCAACTGCCAGCAGTTCGATCCTGACAGGCTCAAGGTTGACTCAGCCTTCCATCCTTCCGAGGTCGGTAAAATGAGGACCCAGATTGTTGGGGGCAATATGCTGACTCCATAAGCCGCTTAGGGCTGTAAAGCACTATGAAGCGGTATATAAGTCTTAAGTGCTATTGCTGTTATCTTTTTTCAAGCAAGTATGCTTGTCAAAAGGCTGCTTGAAAAGGCAGCCTAATTAAACTCTGAAATATAATTTTGTCTTTGGAAACACGTAGAGTTTAGTTAATACATTTACTACCGTAATATGCGGGCACTGGGACAGGTAAGTTCTACTGCAACTCATTGCTGCCTTCTAGAGGCCCTTAGTATAGCTTCTGAGCGATGGGAAAACAGCATATTGGGAGACAACAAGGTTGGAGAAGGCTGTTGTCCTTAAAAGCTCAAAACACCTTAAGTGTTAAATGGTACGAGTTTACCCCTTCAGATAATAAAGTGGATTTGTAATGACTGACGGTACAATTTTTTAAAAGAAAAATCTATTTTAGAACCAAGGACCCATCTGTAAATCAGGGATTCTGATTTTCTCCTCTTCCCTTCTCCCGATTATCTCTATATGTACTTGCAAATTTGCAGTGGTCGATATATTGACAAAAGACGCGTTCTGGTCTTATATTATACATGGAAATATATTTTGGATGGAAGAGACTGAAAATCTTGCCTAATATTCGAGTCAATGTTACTTCAGGATTCAAAAGAATGAGGAATTGAGTATCATCATTTTTAACTTTGCATTTCGGCTTTGTACATTGAGTTACATAGTTCAACTATTGAATACTGTAGTGAATATGGAGAGTGTAATGTGTTTGTAATTTCATACCTTAATTTGGGGGGTTGGTTCTCTAAGACTCATTGTATTCCTTGTTCATGCAATATCTGCCACTGCGTGGTAACTATTATTATTACAACCAAACTTAGATCCAGTATAAAATCCCAGTTTACTATCTTTGGAGTAAGATACTAATCTTTTGACAGTTGAAGTTTAAATTATAGATTCTTATGTAAATAATGGTGCTTGTATATCTTCAGCCCAAGAAAACACTTCGAATTGGAGTTTGTATATTTTTATGTTAGTAAATTTGTGTTGTCCTAAATTTAAGTTTCTGCTTTGTATATTGTCTGATTTTGTTCTTCCAAATGAAATGAATGAATTTGTTAATAACTGAATGTTTGTGTAACTGAATGTTTTGATACCTATTTTATAACTTAGCACATCTGAATATATTTCAGGTTTGTGTCATAAATAACCCTTTAAAACATTGTGGTGTGTCTTTTTCTACTTTTCCTCCCTGCACAAAAGACAGACTGTGGTTTTATGAACTGAATGTTAAATGTTAGAACATGCAGTTTCCAAAACTAGAATTTATATATATATGAGTCTGAATATTAAATAGACTGTATATTACTTATGTTTTACCAGTATATAGTTATGCATCAAAACATAAGGGAGAAAGCAAGAGACAGATATTACTAGTGATTTACACTATTTGTCTCTTTCTTTAAAGCATGTTTATGTATTATATATGTATATATAAACATAAAGACAGAGACAAAATGATACGTATTTATTTATATTTTATATTTATAATATTTATATGTATAAGGAGAGGCTCAGGTTTAGCTTTACTTGAGATCTTTTACAGTTTTAGATTTTACCTCCTTATATTCTATAAATTTATACTAGAATATTAAGCCATTAATATAAATACCATTTATACCATTAAGCTGATAAAATTGATTTCTTTGCTAGGACCTTCTGGGTCTAGGACCTAGAACTGGGCTACTGCTAATTTTTATCTGTCTTATATTAGGTGTAATGTTGACAATGAAAACAAAGTTTACTCAGAATTGCTGTTACAGTATTAGTTTGTTAGAACTGATTTGTGTGAAAATCTTAAACTTGTCTACATATATTTCACAATAGTTCTTTGATTAATAGTAATAATATGCTAGAAAAAAACATAGCTTATATGTAAGAATAATGACTTAGTTGTATATTCCTCTCTTGTAATCTGAACTGTCAGCAAATTGACCCTTCTCATTAGTTGCACAAATAGGGGGGAAATCCATAAATAGCTGCTTACAACTGTTCCAATTATAACTAGATACAGGTCACCTCTTTCAACAAGTGCCCATGTTTTAATATCCATTGATCAGTGATATATTAGACAATGAAAATCAGCCTTGAGTATTTAACAAAATGAAGTTGCAAAATTGATGAGCTTCAGTGTAATCGTGAAGGGTTGGATCAATGCTTTTCATGGCATCTATATTTAGCTTGTTTATTGACCTTTCTATCAGTGGCTGCTTTTGCAGTAAAACTGGAACCTATTTACAAATACATGGTAGGCTTCATACATTATAGTCTTCAGTGCATCTCATCAGAATTGTCCATAGATTATGACAAAGAGTAACTGCAAAAGTGCAGGCTGTTTTGGAAGCTGGATATGTTCAAAATGTGTTTGCAGAATTGAGAGCTTTACTATGCCTGATAGATGCTACTGAACTATAATTCTCAACACCCACAACTAAAATGGTACATGCCACTAGATATTGGATGCTATAGTTAGACAAAATAGGAGGGGCATCAAAATATCCACCATTGGACTAAAGGTGGTTATCATACAACTCTAATACATGCATTCTGGATACATTTCACCGCACTTATCTGGTTTTAACTGAGAAATGTTCAATAGCAATAGCAGACTTCTATACCGCTTCACAGAGCTTTGCAACCCGCTCTAAGCGGTTTAGTGTCAACATAGTGCCCCCAACAATCTGGTCTTCATTTTACCCACCTCGGAAAGATGGAACAAGGCTGAGTCAACCTTGAGCCGGCCAGAATCAAACTCGTAGTAGCCGGCAATCAGCAAAAGTAGCCTGTAGTGCTGCATTCTAATCACTGTACCACCATGGCTCTTAAATCATTAAATACCTATAGTTTCCTGTTCACAGGGATGATAGGCCAATGAAGATTGCAGTAACTTGGAATTGGTTGATACTAGTTCAAATCATTCTAAGGGGGATGAGGATGAAAAGTATGTTAGATCATCAAAAGGGGGATAGGATAACAGCATAGTGCTGTGAGCTTGTGAGCTACCCAGGGTTGTTTCATATGATGTACTGCTATATAAGTCCAATAAATTGTAAAATGGAAGGATTCAAGTAAAGGTAGCTTCCCTGTCCAGTTGTGTCTGACTCTACAGTGCGGGGCTCATCTCTTTTTTGGCCAATAGAGCCAGCATTGTCCAAAGATATCTGTGGTCATGTGGTCAGCATGGCTATATGCTGAAAGTGCACAGAATACTTACCTTCCCACCAAACTGGTACCTATTAATCTACTTGTGTTTGCATGCTTTCTAACTGCTCAGTGGCAGGAGCTGGAGCAAGTATTGGGAGCTCACCCCATCACGTGGAACTCTGGTCTCAAACCCAGGGTGTCAGCAAAATTTCAATAGGTAGGGTAAGGTATACTGAGTCTTATATGCATGACTCTTAAGTGGTATAGTATCAAATTTCAAAAACAATCTCTAAGGATTACCTGAGTTCAAAACTAATTTATTGCTGGCTTTTATATTGATGGGGTGATGGTGAGATAGGGGTGTATTGTGCATTTTCAAGGAGAGAATGTAGAGTTCCAGACACAAATTACTAAAATCTGATAAAAAGTTTAAAATGGAACTGGAATAAAATACAATTTTAAAAAAAATTGGAATAAAATATAATTTAATATATACCGGTAGATAAATAAAATATGCTAAAATTTTATTTTGCTATCACCCCTACAATCTACCCCAATCAGTCCCACATATACCAATCTCAACCCAACCATTTTGCTCAAGTACTGTACTGTGTTAAATGTTATTTTCAAATTCTAGCCACTCATAAGGTAAGTTGTTCTGATATGGGGATCCCAATGGATCATTCCTTTGGTATATAGACCAGGGTACTTGTTTCTCACCCTCTTATACAGGCAACAATCAAATAAGATGTGAGTCAGGTCTTCAACCACTGCCGCTCTGCAAATGCGGAGACGTCCATTATAGGGTATAGACTAGAATCTCCCATATCCTGTATCACAGGGGTATCAAACTGGTGGCCCACAGGTTAGATGTGTCACGCACAGGCCACGCCCACCCCAGCTCCATGAATGGGAAAAATGAAACATCATGTGACGGCAATGTGACGCCATGAGTTTAACACCCGTGCTGTATCAGATCAGCTGTGTGTACCTAACCTAATGTGGCTTGTCTAATCCTTAGAGCAAAGCATGCTGAGGAAGCAAACAGCAACAGCTTCAGCAAACCAGTGGTGTCAAAATGACACACTGTGTGATGTCATTTGGCATATTTTGTCATTTGTCCACCCTTGCAAATCCCAAGAAGGGCCTAGGGAGTGAGTTCAAGCAGCTGTCATTTTCAGGTAAGTCAAGAGGAGAGTGGGACAGAAATGCAAAATGGCTTCTTGGTGTTGGTTGCTGTGCTTCACTTCCCATCAGCAAGACCTCAATTGGCAGATTGAGTTCCCTTTCCATTTTGGGGTGCTGTGGTCCATGCTAGACCCATCTGGCCCTAAGTATGTTCCATCCATTGTACAACACTGGAAGAGATGGCTGGCCTGGCAGTTCCTACTGACACCACTGCTTTTCAAAGGAGCAATACCAAGTGTCTTCCCAGGAAATCAGACTTGGTACGAAGATGGGGCTTCCCAGAATGAAGAGGAATCCTGTTGCTATGCTACCTCATTCCCAACAGCATCTTCCCTGTTGAGCTGGCAAAAGCCACGAATACAAAATAAGAGTTGAAAGGGACCTTGGAGGTCTTCTAATCCAACCCCCTGTTCAAGCACTATTCCAGTCAAATGGCTGTCCAATCTCTTCTTAAAAATTTCCAGAGATAGAGCACCCACAACTTCTGAAGGCAAGCCATTCCACTCGCGGATTGCTCTCGCCGTCAGGAAATTTCTCCTTAATTCTAGGAAGGATCTCTCTTTGATAAGTTTCCATTTTTTATTTCTTCTCCTGTCCTGAGGTGCTTTGGAGAATAGATGGTTCCCCTCTTCTCTGTGAGAGTCCCTCAAGATCGGAAGACAGCTATTGTGTCAACCCTAGTCCTTCTCTTCCTTAGACTAGACGTACCCATTTTGTGTAACCATTCTTCATATATTTTAGCCTCCAGCCCTCTAATCATCTTTGTTGTGCTTCTCTGCACACTTTCCAGGCTCTCAATATCTTTTTTGTATCATGGTGACCAATATTGGATGCACTACTCCAGTATAGTGAGTTTCCCTGATGAGCTGGCAGAAGCCATGAATCCCGGGATAGTTTTCTGTTCTCCAGGCTGCCCTCTACTTGAGGGGCTGAGACTCCCATCATGCCCAGTCATGGGCTAGGGGTTATGGAAGCTGAATACAGATACAAATACAGATTAACAGAGTCAGAACTCGGAAGGACCTTGTAGGTCATCTAGTCCAACCCTCCCCCCAAGCAGACCCTACCCCATTTCTGACAGAGGGCAGTCCAGTCTCTTCTTGAAAGCTTCCAGTGATGAAACTCCCACAACTTCTGAAGGCAACTTCTGTTCCATTGGTTGACTTTTGTATCAGAAATTTTCTCCTTATTTCCAGGTTGAAGCTCTCCTTGTTCAGTTTCCATCCATTATTCTTTGTCTGGCCTTCAGGTGCTTTGGAAAATAGGTTGACCCCTTCCTCTCTGTGGCAGCCCCTCAAATATTGGAAGATTGCTATCATATTTCCCCTGGTCTTTCTCTTCACTAGACTAGCTATGCCCAAACTGAAGTCTTAAATCCAAGCCCAATCTAGGTCAGTGTTTTTTCAACCTTGGCAACTTTTTAAGAATTGGGTGGACTTTCAAAATCCCAGAATTCCCCAGCCAGCATGAGATCATATTATAGGCCACATCGCAGGCTCCTTTGCGCGCTTGCTTTTCTCCCGCTAGGCGCTTCTGAATTCTCCTCAGATCGCACATCGCTCCTAAGAAGCGCGCGCTCAGGTTGGACTTTCCCGCCCTTGCGGTTAAGAGAAAGGCGTGGGGCGTGGCTAACGCCCTCTTCTGCCCCGCCTTCAAAGTAGCGCCCCTCCCTTCTGCTTTCTGGGACCCCTTCCCTCGGCGTTCGGATGGCGTCATCTCCTGCGCGCCGCTCAGCGTGGCCTTCCCCCCCTTCTTCCCTTCGGCAGCGAGCTTTCGAGTCGCTTCGGAGTGACGCCCACTTCCTTTTCCGGCCTGGGCTCGCGGCGCGTGA